AGCTCCCCTCCCACTTCCTCGCCATAGTTACCTCCTCCCAGTGTCCATCCCTTCATACTCTTCTGCACCCTGAGCTATCTCCTTGTGCATAAGCAGCCCTTCCTTCTCCCATGATTGTTCTCTCCAGGGCGTGTGTCTACTTGAGGTAAATGTTTAAGTGCACAGTACCATCATTCTGAAAAATTAACATTAACTTGTTGCAGAATGGCATCACTGTGCTCTGTTCAAAATTACCGTGGTTGCTTTTCTGCCTTCCTGTGTCCTGAAGAAGGAGCTCTGGTGGCACAGTGGTTAAAGCTTTGGCTGCTAACCAAAAGGTGGATGTTTCAAACCCACTATCCATACTGGAGGAGGAAGATGAGGCAGTCTGCTTCCGTAAAGATTTAGAACCTTGGAAAAATCCTCTAGGGGTCACTATGAGTCGGAATCAACTCGATGGCAGCGGTTTTGATGTGGTTTGGTCTGGTGTGTCCTCAAGAGTGTGATGCCTGGAGACAGAACATCACCGTGTAACCTATGTGCCCGACCTGCAGAGCCCTTACCCTAACGTTAGTGCCTGTGTTCACCAGCGTTCATGGACGCTTGGCTTCACTTTGCTTTGCTGGCCACTTACCCACTCTCTGTCAACCTTTTCATGTTCCCTTCACTGCGTTTGTGTAATAATGATGACAGCAGTTACAACTGTCCTCATTTATTCAGTACTCATAGTGACCAGGCCCTGGTTTTTAATGCAGCATCTCCATCTATCCCTGGTAATTGTGTATGCGATAATTCTGTAGGAAAAAAAGGCCAAGAAAGGTTGAAGGACTTCCCCCGAGACAGTGAGATACCCGACAGCCTCATCTCTCCTGGTTGTGCTCTTTGCTGCCTTTCTCCTAAGCTCCCTGTCTTTCCATTTCAGCACTGACTTTGGTATTTTATAGAGAAAGCAGATGCCAGAAGGAGTGAACACCCGTCTCCATTACCATCCTCAAAACCAAACAAGCACACTGCTATTGAATTGGACCCGACTCATAGCGACACCTCCTTGGGTTTCTGAGGTGGTATCACTACAGAAGTGGATGGCCCAACCTTCCTTCTGAGGAATGGCTGGTGGTTTTGAACCACCAGCCTTCTGGTTAGCAGTCAAATGCCTTAGGCACTGTGCTACCACCAGGGCTCCCAATGCTTCACTTTTCTTCGCTCTTCAGAACAGTCCAGGGAGAAGCTTGCAGGCTTGGGCCTTTTCATCTGTAAATGGGAGCAGCGAGGCCTGCCTTGCTGAGTGAGTGTAATTTAGGGTGTGTGAAGTCCTGGCACGTCATAGATGACAAGCCACCATGACTTGTTACCTGTGTTATCTTTGCTTCTCTCCCGGGGGAAGCGGTAGGCAGAAAATCACCTTGCCTTATTGAGCTTTATTTTGTGTGAGAAGTGTGAATTTGTAATGAGTAGTTCAGTCAGTCATACAGATGGACTATAGGCTCCTTGAGGGCAGGGCCTGGCATTGTGGTTGATTCCTACTAATTGCCTGAAAGTATTTATTAAGTGATAAAATAGATGGTTTCTCTAGGCCTGCCTCTTGACCGTCTTGGAATCTGGTAAGGATTTAGTTCCTTGGGAAATGCAACTGGTAGAGGCAGTAACTCAGTCACTTTCTGATCCCTAGGCCCTGACGGTAGCAGTCCTGCTTTGTCCTGGTCTCCCGTGGCCACTGCCCCTTCATTCCTGTCAGAAGACTGGGCTCTGGACTGTTGTGGGTTGGGTGATTGGGTTAAGAGTTTTATTTTCTCTCAAAAGAAAATAAAAAGCACACCTTTGCCTTTGTTGAAGGGCCTTTGTTTTGTTTTCATTTCCTCTTTAGAGAAGAAAGATGTGACTCAAAGCCTAGAGAACTACACGTCCAAGTGTCCGGGGACCATGGAGCCCATCACCCTTCCAGATGGCCTCACCCTGCCCCCAGTGCCCTTCACGAAGCTGCCCATCGTCAGGTGAGACCAGCCCTGCCCAACAGGAGCAAACTGTCAGGCCTGCTGTACAGAACTGCCCTGTGGGGCAGGGGATAAGCATCCAGCTGCTAACCCAGGGGCTGGGGGTTTGAACCCAGTAGCCACTCCGTGGGAGAAAGACCCAGGGATCTGCTCCCAAAAAACTTCCAGCAGAGGAAACCCTGTGGTGCCGTTGTACTCGGTCTGGTGAGTGGGACTCGACTCGCCAGCAGTGGGTCTGGTTTAGGTTTTGCTCCTGTCAAGTTTGACAGCCTTGGCGACCCCATGAAGCAGTTCTATTCCGTCCTCTGCGGGTGCTGTGAGTAGGGATTGACTTGATGGTACCTAACAACAACAACGATTTGTTGGGAGCTCTGGTGGTGTAGTGCCTAAGGCATTTGACTGCTAACCAGAAGGCTGGCAGTTCAAACCCACCAGCCACTCCTCGGAAGGCGGATTGGGAAATCTACTTCCGTAGAGATACTGCCTTGCTAATTATTGGAGATGTCTTATAGTTATGATTTGGTTTTAGAACAGGTGATTAAAGCCCCGTCCCTTTTTTTCCTGTGAGATCTTGACTATTTTTGACACTAGAACCATTTCATTAATTTACAGGAAAATACTGGTCTGTTCTCTGTAGCATGGCAGCATGAACTGGGCTCACCCAGAAATGGTTTCAAGTAATTATGATGCAAGTTAATGAATAAATGGGCCAAAGTACGTTCCTGTTTTAATTCTTTTCCAAAATCCAATGAATCTAGTTTCACTGAGTACCTGAGATGGGTCTGGCTTCTTGGGATTTAGGAATGATGCAGCATCGTCCCATTGGCCAGAAGGCTGCCAGACCCACATCCCATGACCGCCATTCAGAGGCAAGGCAGAGGGAGGGTCAGTTACAACTGTCAACAACCATATTGTATATTTTCCAGAGTTCTCTGCACGGTGATAACATCTGTCTACAATAGCTGGTAGGAATCAGGCCCTGAGGACCTGTGTAGATTATCACACTGCAGTGTGCAGATTGTTACAGAGGAAGCTGAGATGGCATTGGGTGTTAATGCCTGTAGTTGGGATGCTGTTTCCAGTCTTTCACTGGGCGGGGCTGGAGGATGGTTAGTTGATGGTGTTCTTGATGCACCAACATTACGGTTTTTCATCCGGGAAAGAAACCATAGAGTCAGAACGACAGTCTGTAGGTCGATGAGGATTGCAGCCTTCCCCTTGGGGCTTTGGTCTCCGAGTGGCTTTTGGGGCTTTGAAAACCTAAACTTTCAAGGCTGTTGCACTTTTGGAGAGAGAGTTACAGGGATTTATTAAGAAGGGGGCTTAGAGGCTGTCACAGGGTGATTTTGTTCACAAAGCTGAGCAAAGTCAGGCCTGTGTGATGTCCATAACCTCGCTAGGTGCATGCCATTGTCCAGAACCTTCTCTCGTCAGCACGTATCTAAGGTCTGGCACATGCCTCGGATGCCACTGAGCAGTTCCTGTGAGCTGTCGCAGTTCCATCACCAGCTGCGAGGGAGAACTCAGCAGGTGAAAACAGACACTGTGGGACTTGAGAGTGTCCCTGGGTCCTGGCTGACTGAGTAGCCTTGCTCTGCTGAGTGTGGAAAGAGAAGACACTGAAAACCGTCACTCTGGGCACGTCCAAGACTGACTGTCATGGTGAAAGCCGGGAAGGCGCAGTTGTCATCTGAGAGACCGACTGTCACGGTGAAAGCCGGGAAGGCGCAGTTGTCATCCGAGAGACCGACTGTCACGGTGAAAGCCGGGATGGCGCAGTTGTCATCCGAGAGACCGACTGTCATGGTGAAAGCCGGGAAGGCGCAGTTGTCATCCGAGAGACCGACTGTCATGGTGAAAGCTGGGAAGGTGCAGTTGTCATCATCATGGAGTGCCGTCACGTGTGGAGTAACAGACGGATGAGCTCGGCTTGCACTCTGGGGCTGATGTGATGGTACAGTTACCTACAAGATGGGGGTGTGGTGTTTGGATGGGGCAGCTGCGCCCCTGTCTCATGTACTTAGTATAATGGCCAAGCCCACACCTTCCTTAGGAACTTCTTAACCTCGAGCCTGGAGGGAGTCAACCTGCAGATGAAGAGCCCTGGGTCTCCCAGCAGTAACCTGGCCGTGTCTCTGGATCTTCAGGGACCTCAGACTTCCCAGGAGTTGGGAGGGTGGGTGGCCTCCACATTGTCCCAGATGTGGGGCAGAGGAGGCCAGGAGATATCCAGGATGTTCTTGGATTTTTCTAGATTATTCAAAAATT